GTTATGAAAGGTGGAAGACGTCAATCCTCTTGAGGTTTCTATGTCTTCATTAGTCGGTCTGACATGTAATGTTAGTGTTATGAAAGGTGGAAGACGTCAATCCTCTTGAGGTTTCTATGTCTTCATTAGTCGGTCTGACATGTAATGTTAGTGTTATGAAAGGTGGAAGACGTCAATCTTCTTGAAGTTTCAGTAAAATAGCAACTCCACACGTGACACTAAAGCAGAATGAAACTCATATAATCCCAACACCAGGTCAGTGTTTCAGCTCGTTAGTTATCCTCATAAGTTGACAGTTCCTCGCTCTTTTTGGCCACTTTCATGATGATGTTCTAGAAAAAAGTGGGAGAAACATTAGCAGATGAAAACTTCGAGGCTATACATAACTTAAAAAGTTCTATATTAGAAACTGGTAAATACATATTATTCACAACCTTTCCTGGCTCGCTAACTAAATTCATTGAGGTGGCAGATGAAATTATGTTGCATGAGAAAAAACATAAAATAAATAAATAATAAACAAAAACGAATTTATGTAATAACATTTGAAAATGTGATAGAATACAACCATCATAAAGATTATTTATTTCTATATTTGAACCTGGTATTACTAGAATATCTCTACAGAGCAAATACATGTTTTGTACAAAAACAAAGGTTGCTTTCATATACATATATAATACATCAACTAGCATCTTCCTTTAATTAAGACACTAGAAGTGGTAACAAAACCCCTCTTCCTTGAAATAAGACACTAGAAGTGGTAACAAAACTCTCTTCCTTGAAATAAGACACTAGAAGTGGTAACAAAACTCTTCTTCTTTGAATTAAGACACTAGAAATGGTAACAAAATTATTCTTCTTTGAAGTAAGACGCTAGAAGTGGTAACAAAACTCTTCTTCTTTGAATTAAGACACTAGAGGTGGTAACAAAACTCTTCATCTTTGAATTAAGACACTAGAGGTGGTAACAAAACTCTTCTTCTTTGAATTAAAGAAGAAGAGTTTTGTTACCATTTCTAGTGTCTTCTAGTGTCTTAATTCAAAGAAGAAGAGTTTTGTTACCATTTCTAGTGTCTTAATTCAGTATTATTATTATTACCACTTCTAGTGTCTTAATTCAAAGATGAAGAGTTTTGTTACCACTTCTATGTCTTAATTCAAAGAAGAAGAGTTTTTGTTACCACTTCTTGGGAAGATATTGAGAGAGAGAGAATGGGAAGATATTGAGAGGGAGAGAATAGGAAGATATTGAGATAGAAAGAATGGGAAGATGCTGAGAGAGAAAGAATAGGAAGATATTGAGAGAGAAAGAATAGGAAGATAGTGAGAGAGAGAGAATGGGAAGATAGTTGAGAGAGAAAGAATGGGAAGATGCTGAGAGAGAAAGAATGGGAAGATATTGAGAGAGAAAGAATGGGAAGATGCTGAGATAGAAAGAATGGGAAGATAGTGAGAGAGAGAGAATGGGAAGATGCTGAGAGAGAAAGAATGGGAAGATATTGATAGAGAAAGAATGGGAAGATAGTGAGAGAGAGAGAATGGGAAGATATTAAGAGAGAGAGAGAATGGGAAGATGCTAAGAGAGAAAGAATGGGAAGATATTGAAAGAGAAAGTATTGGAAGATATTGAGAGAGAAAGAATGGGAAGATATTGAGATAGAAAGAATAAAAAGATGCTGAGAGAGAACGCCTGGGATGATATTGAGAGGATAGGTACGTAAATATGGATACATTGAAGAGTGTGCCTAAGTAGATGAAAATACATGTCTTTCTTTGGTAGGACGTTATTGACAAGGTTACTTGCAAACATAGGGCGCGCTATGTACTCTTAACTCTCTGAAAGATACACATGATCTAATCCGTTTTTCAGAAACCACCTCTTGTCTACTGACGCTCTGAGCCATTCTTGGATGTTATTATTTGTTACATCTCCATTCACAACCAGTTTTCTTGGATGTTATTATTTGCTACATCTCCATTAACAACCAGTTTTCTTGGATGTTATTATTTGTTACATCTCCATTCACAACCAGTTTTCTTGAATGTTATTATTTGCTACATCTCCATTAACAACCAGTTTTCTTGGATGTTATTATTTGTTACATCTCCATTCACAACCAGTTTTTGAAGCTCATTTTGAACGTGTTTTTCATATATTTTTTGTTTACCTTTTGAGTTGTTAATGTTTTAGTCCCTGTTCTCTTGCATTTACTTAGTCCCTCCTAAAGCCTGAATTTAGATTAGCACTTTAAGGCAAGTTTTACGGAGCTTCTTAGTGTTCAAACAGAAAGCTAACCGTTGTATGCTTTATATGTCTATATTTTTATCTTAATGGAAAACAAGCAACATAACTTTACCAGTTTTTATGTTGTCTGGTGCATTACGCTACTTAATGATATTCCGATATATTTACGCTAGACAACTTAGCTCTTTACCGGAAAATACGGTGTTCTCTCTCCATATTTGCTCCAAAATGTCACTTTACTGATGCTCTGGTGACCTGATCTTTCGTCAAACATTCGGCAGCTGTCAAAAGGAGGACAATACAAATGCAGACTGACGGCCGTTTCCAAATGACTTCTGTTCTCAACTCGGTGAAGACCTAACGAATCTAAATAGAAAGAAAAATATATATACTTACAATTGATTCAGCAATGTTTGAACTCTGCAGGTACTCATATTTAAACATTATAACTAATACTAACTCTGACTACAGTAACTGTGAGAGTAGGTTACTATGTTTAACAACCATAATTAGTACTAACTCTGACTACAATAACTGTGAGAGAAGGTTAACGATGTTTAACAACCATAATTAGTACTAACTCTGACTACAGTAACTGTGAGAGTAGGTTAATGATGTTTAAGAACCATAACTAGTACTAAGTCTGACTACAGTAACTGAGAGAGTAGGTTAACGATGTTTAACAACCATAACTAGTACTAACTCTGACTACAGTAACTTTCAGAGTAGGTTAACGATCTTTAACAACCATAACTGGTACTAACTCTGACTACAATAACTGTGAGAGAAGGTTAACGATGTTTAACAACCATAATTAGTACTAGCTCTGACTACAGTAACTGTGAGAGTAGGTTAACGATGTTTAACAACCATAACTAGTACTAACTCTGACTACAGTAACTGTGAGAGTAGGTTAACGATCTTTAACAACCATAACTAGTACTAACTCTGACTACAGTAACTGTGAGAGTAGGTTAACGATCTTTAACAACCATAACTAGTACTAACTCTGACTACAGTAACTGTGAGAGTAGGTTAACGATGTTTAACAACCATAACTAGTACTAACTCTGACTACAGTAACTGTGAGAGTAGGTTAACGATGTTTAACAACC